TCAGGGCAGCGCAGGACGCGTCGAGCGAGGAGGAAGTCGTCCCTGTCTTGAAACGGTTCGACGTCAGCACTGGGCAGTCCTACTTGGTATTGTCAGACGGGTCCCGCGAGATGGCCAAGTTCAAGTGCGGAGAGCAGGGGCGACTGGTCGCCACGTGGCCTGAGTACAACATGGAGTTGCAACCTGAACTACCAAATTCTGCTCTGAAAGATGATGGGGCGATCGACTACACGCCAGCAGACCCGCGCCAGCCGCCCAAGGCCGGCCGCAAGACCAAAAAAGGAAAGCCCGCGAGTGCTCGGAAGAGGCCAGCTGGCGCAGTGGAAAACGAAGAACCGCCCACCGCTCCAAAGGCGAAGGCAAAGACAACTCCAAAGGCGAAGGCAAAGACAACTCCAACGCCGACGGCAGCTCCGACACCATCACGCATTCAAGAGAAGATCAGGCAGAACATCGACCGCATCTCCGAGGAGGCCAGGAGGGGATTGCAAGGGTTCCCTGGCAGAGACAGCAACGAACTTGCGACGTGCTACGCTGTCGCGGTTGATGGCGGCGCCATCTCTCTTCGTGATCTCCACCGCTCTCCTTGCTTCTACGTGGACCGCGTGACCGAGATCCCCGAGAATTTCCCTGGGCTCGGTGACGACGCCGTCGTCGCCATGTTCGAAGGCAAGAAGTTGAACAAGAAAGGCGGGGTGCAGTTTGGTTTCGGCGACGACGCGAACTTGGCCTTCAAGGCGGCGAAACTTCTGAGGCCGATGTATCCGAACCCCGCAGCCTAGACCCCAGCGCGCACCTGGGTGCCACCCCGTGCAAAAAAAGAGCTGACAACATCATCATCACCAGCATTACCACCAGCAACCTACTACCTTCGGGGGGGGCTACGTTCGAAAATCCAAACCAGAACTTTTGGCAACAGTTCTGGTTTGGATTTTGCTTCGGGAAAATATTTACACCCCCTCCTTGCCTTCCCCCTGGGCCTCGCCTTGGGCGCCCGCCTTTGGTGCCCAGTTGGACCTCTGGGCTCCCGCCCCGAAAGGCGATCTCCCCTTGGGCCTCTTGTGGGTTCCCTGCGTCGTCGTCATCGTTATCGTCATCCGCCATCGTCGACGCTTCAAGCATCCACCATCGTCACACTGGGGCCCAGCCTTGGCTTCCCCTTGGCTGCTCGCCTTGGGTGCCCAGTTGGACCTTTGGGCTCCCGCCCCGAAAGGCGACCTCTTGTTGGGCCTCTCCTTTTGGGTTGCCTGCGTCGTCGTCATCGTTATCATCATCCGCCATGGTCAACGATTACAGCATCCACCATCGTCACATTGGGTTGGACCTCTGGGCCCCCGCCCCGAAATGCGACCTCCTGGGGGACTAAGGGGGGGGCCCGGGGGAACCAAGGGGACCAAGGGGACCAAGGGGGACCGAGGAGTGGTACCAAAGGGGGCCAAGGGGTACCAAGGGGCACCCAGGGGGGGCCATGGGGGCCAAGGGGGACCGAAGGTGGGAGCATCGTGATCGCCCTTATCATCCGAAGCCGTTGTGGCCCAATCCACTCCGACAGACTGGCAATGATGATGTGTCGTTTGCTATTCCTGCCTGTGTTTCTCGCAATGGGGATTCGGCAACAGCTTGGCCTGACGAGCAAGTCAACAAAAGTGATTGGCCGCTCGAAATTTGCGAAGGCTGTGAAACCTACCGTCGGCACCGATCTGTCTGAGTGGTTGCGTTCAAAATACAAGCGAGGCCAATTGTCAGCTAAAGATGTGAGAGTGGCGGCTTCAAAAGAGAAGGATGGGGATGTTCACATGCCACGTTGTGGTTCGTCTGGTAAGCACGAGAGAAACATTTCCAGAGATTTAATTCGTTGCCTTTCGAAGAGATCTGAAAGGCCACCCGTTTACGTTGCCAAGTGTGTGTTTTGGGACCCTCTCAATGCGGAGTCATTCGACGATGACGTATTTTTCCAGTTGCCGCACGAAATAATGGAATACGAGATTGATAAACATGGCGTCGATCATTTTACGCACATCGAAGATGACCACCCCGTTTTTCGGATTCGTGAAGAGTGGTGTCAGCGAGTTGACTTACATCCAGATGCGGCCAGTTCTGTTGTTCCAATTTCTGTGTGGGGCGATTCTGCTGGGTTCTTGACGCGCGACAGCATCTATCTTATGTTGTAGGGCCCAATCGGCGGGGCTGACCGCGCCCGGCACTGGTTCGCATCGCGGGGCAAGCGAGTGCGTTGCGGTTGTGGGCGCCACGGACGGCACACATTCGATTCCTTTGTTCGGGTTCTGGTGTGGGCGATGGAGGTCCCCCTGACAGGCAAGTGGCCATCGACGAGGCATGACGGAGTCCGCTTTGCAGACTCCAAGCTGCCAGGCCGCGGGGACATGTACCTTGCGTCCCGCTCCCCCTCGTCCTCCCCCTCCTCCTCCTCGCCCCCGCATGTAGGCCTAATCTCAGGTGAGGTCACAGTACCGGTAACTGCTCTGCAGCATTCCTCCTCCGCTGGGGGGAGGGGGGAATGCCTAACAGATCCTAAGATGCATCGACCTCTGACGGCTCTTGCCTTGCCTTACCTTGCCTCATATTCATGCCACTCCCCGTCGCCCTCCCCTCCCTTTTTCTCCACAACACACATCTCGTTCTCAAAAATATCCCCCAACATGGGCGGGCGAGGGGGCGGGGGGGAGCAAGGTGCAAGTCCCTGAGCAGCTCCAGGTGACAGATGGCGGGCCGCAAGAGCTCGCAAAGGAGATTCGCTTCGGGCGCGCATGGGCGTGTGCCAAAAAAAAAGGTGATTGGTCATGGATGCAACAGTTTCTCGGCGTATCTGGGTGGGGCGGGGAAGGCGACAATAAAATTGTATGTTGGAAATGCAAAGCTGGCTATAACACGGAATTCCCCTACACAGATGCGCCCCTCGCAGCCGCATGGCGGACGACTTCTGTTTCCGACCTCTCGTTTCGACTTGAAATGCTATCTGGCCTTCGATATGCGAGCCCCTTCTGGAGCATACCAGGCTTTATATTGGACTACGCGACTATAGATTTAATGCACGCAGGGGACCTCGGGTGTTTGCAATATGTTCTCGCCAACGTATTGCTCGATATTTTTGATCGCATGGGCGGTGTTTTCTCGCGCCCGTGTGAGACATTAGGCCACTTAACGCTCTTGATGTCGATTTGTTCTAAGAGCCTTGGTTTGGAGAGCCCGCCATGGAATTGGATCACAATGAATATGATCAAGACATGTGGGAAAAACCCGAAACTGAAGTTGAAGGCGTCTGAAACCCGCAGGCTGCTAAAATGCACGCGGCTCCTCATTGAGCGGTTCTTCCCCCCCCCGAGATGCCCGCGAACAGCTGGTTTTCGATTGTGTGGATGCTGTTCATCATATATACGTTGAACTGCACCGATGGGACCGCTATGCTTCGCCGCCGAAGTGCGCAAGATGGGCGCGTGTGTTTGTCACGCTCTACGGTGAACTTAACAAATGGGCAGTGGCAGAGAATTTTAATGGATCTTTCACGCGGTATAAATTTTACCCGAAGTTCCACCAATTCGTTGAATTGTTCGAAAGAGAGGTGCCAAAGTATGGGTCGGCAGCTGATTTTTGGTGCTGCGCCGACGAATCGGCGATAGGTGATGCATTTCATGTGGCCGAGCGCTGTCACGCAAAGTACTTGCACAGGTCAATCATATTCAGGCACCGCCTGTGAGAAAAACAGTAGCTTACCGACGCGTAGCGTAGTCATGGCTTTTGGTCATCACGTGGTCGCTGCAAAAAATGAAGGGAATCCTGAGTCTCTATCCTCTATAATCCGCTTGGCTCCGCCGTGGCCTTCCGCCCCGTCGTTCCCCCTGGCGCTCACTGTTTGGGATCCACGCGCTTGTTTCCCTTAACTGTGGGCGCCCCTTTAGGTAGCTTCCTTTTGGCACTAGGTGCACATTATGTATATGTATATGTTTATGTGTAAATATGTATGCATATATGTATGTGTATGTGTTTGTATGTCTATGTAAATGATTATGTGCGGGTACGCATGCATATCACGCACGTGCATACACGCACGTACGCGTATGAACGTATATATATACATATATATATATATAAATATGAACATATATACACCATATACCACAGTTATATGCTTCAATATATACATAGGTATGTATGTATGTATATATTATATTATATTATATATGCACATGAATGTGCGTATACATCACGATCGTGGGTGCTCGACCACGATCGTGGATCCTCGATCACGATCGTGGATCTTTGACCACGATCGTGGATCCCCGATCTACGATCGGGGATATCAGGATCCGCGATCACGATCATGGATCCTCGATCACGATCGTGGATCCACGATCTACGATCGGGGATTTCAAGATCCACGATCACGATCGTGGATCCGCGATCATGATCGTGGATCCACGATAAAGAACGTCGATCGGATGCCCAAGGCTGAGCTGTTTTTGGACAGCCCCGAGGGCCGGTCAGGGCCCCAGAGGCCAAAAAACAATGCAATACCTCCCGTCGTGATTTCTTTCAGAGCCCGAGGGGGTCTGGGTCTCGGGGCCCGAGGAGGAGCAGGAGCGGGGGGGAGGAGTTCACAGCGCCTCTGGGTATGGGGGGAGGAGCGGGGGGGAGGAGGGGCGTGCCGGAGGAGGAGGGCCCAGCCCCTCCCCGCGGCATCGCTCGGGCGCGTGCGCTGCTGTGGCCCTGGCGAGGAGCCCTGGGGAGCAGTACGTTGGACCTGTCCCTCTACAGGAGGAGTGTTCAACAATAGTCAATCGATAGCCTGGGGACGGTTTTTGCAGCATTTTTTGGTCATTGTTGATTCTTTGTTGGAGATGTTTTATCTTTCGTCCAAGATGGGCCTGTAGGAGGGCATGCCCGACCTGAGTCTTGGATCCTCTGGCGAGGGCCTCTTTCGAGGAACCTCGAGGATAGCGCACGGCGCCCGGGCGGTGGGCGCGCGCCCCTGCCCTTCGCAGGTCCGGCCTGTGCCTGCTCTTCGCCCAGCGCAAGCGCCTGCTGCTGGCCTCCTTCGACGACGGGCTGCTCCTCGTGGGCTCCCGCCGCGCGCGCCCCCGCAGGGGGGGAGGGGGGCGCGGGGTCCGGGCCCGAGCCCCTTGCGCGGGGTGCGCGGGGCGGGGAGGGGAGGGCGCGGGGGGGGAGGGGCGGGGGCGGGGGGCGGGGGGCGGGTGGGGCGCGGGGGGGGCGCGCGCGCGGCCCTCCCTGCGCGGGGTCCGAGCCCAGACCCCCCCCCCCCCCGAGTCAGGAAGAAGGCGCGACGCCGGGTTGTTCGCCCTGTTCGGCCTCGGGGGGCCCTCGCTGGCCCTCCCTGGGACCGCCGGGAAGCGACTCGGGACGAAGCGCCGATCCCGGGAGATGGGTCCAGTTGTGAAAACATCCAGTTATGAAAAAATCACGACCGGCGGTTTCTCATTATTTTTGGCCTCTGGGGGCCCTTACCGGCCCTCGGGGCCGTTTTTCGTCCTGAGTCGACTCAGGACGAAAAACCGGTCCCTGGGAATGGGTCCAGACCGCTGGGGGCCCACGTCACGCAAGATCATGACGTCGGGGGTCTGGGACTACAGCTGGCCGTGTGGGAAGCGGGTCCTGGCTGAGACGGGTCCTCAGGTTTTTCGCAGCTCGGCCCGTCAGAGAGCGACTCGGGACGGCAAGCTCGTTCCGGGCACACCCAGGAAGGGGTTGCGTGGGCTCGCCGTCGCGCCGCCCCGGACTTCCATCACCGCCCCAAAGGGAGGCAGGCAGCACCCCACGACTGTCCCAGAAGGATTGATGGGCAGTCTCTGGCTTGGAGGGCCCTCACCAGGCACCCGTCGGGGCGCTGCGTCATGGGGGTCCTCCTCCTCCTCCTCCTCCTCCTCCTCCTCCTCCTCCTCCTCCTCCTCCTCCTCCTCCTCCTCCTCCTCCTCGGATGGGCGACAACTGGGGGGGGCGGGGGAGGAGGGAGGTGCACCTTCTGCGCCCCGAAAGGGGGACGCAGAAGGGCCCCCTCTGGGGCCCAGGAGGGGCCCGAGAGGTGCACGCGTCTCCCACCCCCTAGTGTTAAGTCGGGCCTGTCCCTCTACAGGAGGAATACAGTCGGGGCCCTAAAGAAGGAACCCTTTTGGTTAGGGAGGGGCTCCGCGTTCCTTAAGTGTTTCGCAGCTTGCCTCAGGTTTTCCTTAGGGCTTCGAAAGGAAATCGAAGTATAACTTATGGAAAAAAGGGGCCTCGTTCCTTATTTAGGGTCCCTTAGGTCAACGCCCCGACTGTAGTGTTAAGTCAGGCCTGTCCCCCTACAGGAGGAATACTCAAAAATACTCCAAATCCCTGCTGAATCGACCCCCCCCCGGACCCCCTCCAAAGGCGACCTAATATTCCGGACCCCCCTCTTCGACGGGTCGCCTTGAGAAACCGGACCCCCTAAGCTCCAATCCAAAGCAAGCGCCCTAATAAACTGGACCCCCCAGTTACAAAAAAGGCGCCTTAAAAACCGGACCCGGGGACGATCAATAAGGGATTCGGAGTAGTTTTAAGTCGGGCCTGTCCCTCTACAGGAGGAATGTTCAAAAATAGCAAAAAATGGTCTGGAGACGATGTTCCCCATATTTGTTGAACATGCTCTGATATTTGTTGACTTGTCTTTTTGTTTTTTTCTTCGAAAATCGGCCTGTAGGTGGACATGCCCGACCTAACCCTAGTGATCTGTCGCTCCCCCCCCCATGCAGCAACGCCCGACCCAAGGGGCGTCGAGAGGCGAGGGTGAGGGGACAGGTCCAGGGCAGGGCTGGACCCAAGTGCCGGTTTTGCTGGACGTCGGCCGTGTCTTGCTCGTCGTTGTGCGAGGGAGGTGCAGGAAGGCAGGCGGGGCAGCACGAAACACATACGACAACAACACGCAACACAACGTTTAGGTCCAGCCCAATTCCAGGGGTCGTCGTTCTGAGGCTGCGCCCCCCTTTTCCTCCCCCATCTCTGGTGAATTCAAGCTTCGCGCCGGCCCGCTTCGCTTCGACCGGAAGAGGTGCGCTCTCGACCCGCGGATCAAAATAACAAAACTGTTCCAGGGTCCGTGCGGGAGCAGCCAGCAGCCCACGCCGGACAAAAAGGGGCCCGCCGCCCCGTCTGTCCCAGGGGGGGATCTGCCAGGGGCCCAGACGGCTCTCCAGGGCAAGAAAGTTTAAGTCGGGCACGTCCCCTGCAGCAGGAATATGCAAGCACAGTAGGAGAATATTCTGGGGACGATCTTCGACTAGTTTTGACTATTGTTGGGTATTGCTTGCCTTTTTCCTTGAAACAAAAAAACAGATATCCGCAGATCCGCCTGTAGGGGGACATGCCCGACCTACGAGCTCAGCTGGTACGCGCACAGCTTCTGCCAGTCCCTCTGTCCGTATAGGGGAGGCACGCCAAGTAAGAAGGTGGCCCGTCCCGCGATGATTTCGTAGCCCCCGATGGCGCCGCAGACTCGACGAGTAATGCGCCCCTCCCAGATCTCTTACAGCGGATCTTGTCGTATGTGCCTACGGAATGTCTGTCTCGGAGGGCGAGAGGATCGTCCTCACCATCGCGGGGCAGCGTGGAGCCTTGTGCCCCTGAAGGCGCTGAGCCGCACGGGGCCAGCGCAGCCAAGGGACTCGATCTGTCCCACAGTTTTTCTGTTTTGGGGGGGTGATTGCTGCCCCGTGGCAGTCCAGTGATCGACGTGCCACTGAGGAGAAGCGGTATCAGCTGGAGGGGGAGGAGCGGCGAGAGCGGCGTTCCAGAGCCGCCTGCGCCCCGTCGCCTCTACGAGCGGCATGCACTCCCATGGCGGGAAGCGCCCCCGCAGCGAGCGGCGGTGGTGGCGGCGAAGTCCAGCCGCAGCGGGGGCGTGCGCAGTCTCGTGGCAAGTGGGTGCGCCACCCAGGAAGTGCAGGCGTGGGCGCATTTGGCTCTGCAAGGGGCGTATCAGTGCGATGCTGCTGGAGGCATCCCGCGCTGTCGCCTCCGCGGGCGAGCCACGGAGACGACGGCGCACCTCCTCCAACAGTTACCCAGAGGGGCAGCGGCTGCTGCAGTGCCGCGTGGAGGAGGCCCACGGCCTCCGCACGCCGGAGGCCTGGGCCGCGAGGCAGCAGTGGCGGCGCGCCGTCAGAGGAGGCCCCGCAGGCAGCAGTGGCGGCGGCGGCGTGGCTGCGGCGGCGCTGCGAGGAGGCCTGGCCGACCCGCCGCGTCGGCGCCGGCGCGCCTGGCTGCCGCGGGCCCGGCCGCGCCGCCCTCGGGGCCCTGGTCTCTCGGGAGCATCGGCGTCCCTGAGGAGGGCCTCCGGCGGGCCGGCCCCCTCGAGGGGCGCCGCGCGCCCGGCGGGGGATGCCGCACGGCTGCCCTGCCCGGGCTGCTGCGCCTCGGCCGTGGAGGGGGCCTCGGCCGAGGCGGCCAGCGGCTCTCGGGCTGTCTCGGCCGCGCCAGCGATGATTATATGCCCCCCTACCCGCGTGGCCCGGGCGGGGGCGGACGCGCGGGTGAGACCGCGCGGCCGCAAGATGCGCAAGGGGTGAAGCGGGAATCAGGGAGGGAGTTGCCGGAAGAGGAGAAGGGGAGCGACGAGCGGATTCTTGAGGAGGAGGAGGAGGAGGAGGAGGAGGAGGAGGAGGACAAGGGGAAGGAGGAGGAAGAGGAGGAGGAGGAGGAGGAGGAGGAGGAGGGGAAGGAGGAGGAAGAGGAGGAGGAGGAGGAGGAGGAGGAGGAGGAGGAGGAGGACTGGTCCTCAAGTTCGAGACCCAACAGAAGCAGGAGGCACGGAGAGTGAGAACCGCAGAGGGTAGGCCCTCTGGTGTCCCTTCCCCGCCTCCTCCTCTTCCGCCTCCTCCCGCTCCTAATATTGTTGCACGCTTTGCGACGGCACATAGTTTAGGTGAAGACGGCAAGTCTTGTACGGTGTGTAGGGGTAGTGCGTCGAATGCTAGTATGAAGGCCTGGCTTGAAAGTATGTGTGCGTCCCTGGAAAATGTGAACGGTAGGATTTTGAGGCTCCCCCGAGGACGATTAGTACATATTGCTGGTGGTTGGGCTCACCCCTCGCATTCTCTGTATCATCACGTGCGTCTTGGCATACGGTACTGTGCCGCGTGTGGCTACTTCGGCCAATCTCAATTGAGAGGGCTGGGAGTGCCTTGTAGGCCTGCTCTCATCACCAAGAGTCGTCGAGAGTATCTTGACCGAATCTCACGTGATCTGGCCCCCAAGGTTTAAGGGGCGCGGAGTTGTCATTGACATCTGTCAAGGCGGTAATCCTGGTAATCCTCCTCCTCCTCCTCTTCCTCCTCCTCCTCCTCCTCCTCCTCCTCCTCCTCCTCCCCTCCTCTTTCCGCACACCCTCGCAAACCGGCCTGTAGCCGATGACTGATGTGATTCTCGTCCGCGTCCTTCCCATTCGAGCTCCCTCTTCGCCTCCCCATCTCCTGACCCGCTCTGGAGCGTCATTGTCCTTCCGCATCGAGCTCCTCCCCCGCCTCCTCGAGCTCCTCTTGCCCATACCCTGACGAGCTCCTCCTCTTCCTTATCCTCCCGCCCGTCCGCGTGTGTATTGGGAGGGGAGGCCGTAAGGAGGGAATAGAAAGATGTGTAAGGCGTGGAGCGGGCTGAAGAGGAGAGGAAGAAGATGAGGAGGGGGAGGACGACGACAACGGACAACGACCCCGACGACGACGACGACGACGACGACGTCGGCGACGACGTCGACGACCTCAACGACGACGGCGACCTGTTCGACGACGGCGACCTGGACGGCGACGAAGATGGCGACGCCGACTTCGACGACCACGACGATGGCGGCTGCGGCGGCGGCGACCTCGACGACAACGGCGGCGGCGACGCCGAAGGGGGGGGGAGGTGGAGGGGGAGGGGGAGGGGGAGGGGGAGGAGGAGGAGGAGGAGGAGGATGAGGAGAAGGAGAGAGGAGGAGGACGACGACGCCGACCTCGATCGACGACGACGGCGGCGGCGCTCCTCGAGAGGGGGACTGCCCTCCGGGCGGTCGCCCCCCCCCCCCCCCCGAAGAGCCAGGCTCGCCGGCCGGCGCGGGCGGCCACCTCGCCAGCACGCAGGTGCCGGGCACCCCCCCCCCGTGGTGGAGGGCACCGGGCCGGCCAGCCCAGGCAGGCGGACCGAGGGACCGAGGACGGGATATCTCCTCCTCTTGGGTCCTCCTCCTCGATGCTACTCCTCCTCCTCCTCCTCCTCCTCCTCCTCCTCCGCCTCCTCCTCCATGATCCTCCTCCTCCTCCTCCTCCTGCTCCTCCTCCTCCTCCTCCTCCTCCTCCTCCTCCTCCTTGACACTCCTCCTGCTCCTCCTCCTCTTCGATACTCTTCCTCCTCCTCCGCCTCCTCCTTGATCCCCCTCCCGTAGCCACTGGCCCAATGGAACAACTGCTCCAGGCAGCTCGCAAGGACAGCTTCTGGGGGCTCCTGGGGGGCAGCCTACGCGTCAGGCTTCCTGGGCAGCCGCTGATGGTGCATCCTCCGCTCCGATGCTGGCGCAGCTCTGCCATAGCAGGGCAGCTGCAGTCAGACTGCACGCCCATCGCTCCTCGGCAGCCATGGGCGCCCGCGCGCTGGAGCAGCTCACAGCCATCATGCAGAAGACATCAGCGCTGCGAGCGCCCAGCTCGTGACCCAGCTCGATGCCCGCCCAGCTGCCGTGGAGACCAGCGTCGCCACGAGGAGCCTGCACGTCGCTGCGTCGCGGGCCAGGGTCTCCGAGGTCACCCTGCAGACGGAGAGCTTCAACACCATCGCCCAGAAGCAGCAGGCCGAGATTCAGGCCCTCAGGGCCGACCCCCTTTTGCGAGCACCTCTTCCAGTGTTCCAGGCTCGGCTGCTGGCAGCGAGGCTGCGAGGCTTGGTGGTGCATCCGGGACAGAGAGTCGCAGAGGCGATGACTAAGCTCCTGGAGTCCATGTGTGAAATTCGTTCCCACGTTTGCTCGTCCTGTTTTGGAGCGTGCTCGCAGAAGCCACTACGACAACCTGAACACCAGCTTCCCCGAACTACTGAGTCATGCTGAACCTACGTTCCACGCCGGGGCACAGTCCTACTGCCCTAAGTATGACGAGCGCGTTGGGCCGAGCCCTAGCCGCCAAAACGTCCACGGATGAAAACGCAACGTCGCGCAGATGCAACATGCGGATTTTTCGGATGAAGACCCTGCGCGCGCCGTTAACGCCATCCAAATCTAATGGTTCGCATGCAGAAAGAAAGCAACAAGGATCAGGGTTCGCATACTCGTCAAAATCTCCCAAACACGCCCCCCCCGAACAAGGACATTGACGTGCATTCGTCGCCAGTGCGGCAACTGCTTGCCGCTGTCGCGCGACATTGGGATGTTGGCAGCTTCTCGGTTCATTCTGCGAGTGCGCGGCAGGGGCTGGGACCTTTCCCGAGTGAGCGTTGCGTTGTTCGCACGCGTGCGAGTAGGAAATGACAAGGTTCTTGCCGCGCGCGATCTGGAACTCCTCGAAATGCGTCGAAACCTTCAAGGGCAACGCGTATGTTGTAGTTTTTTTTTTTTCGGGGGGGGGGGGCACGAGTCACCATTATGAGTGGAAGCTAATGCATTTTTGTATGACTTCGGGGGGCACCTCAATCTCGCGTGATTCGCGTGACAGTATGATTCTTGTAGACCGCGCGGAGCTTGAACATGCAGGATGCCATCGCTGGTGCGACGTGGAAAAAACAACGCGTGCTCGTGGGACTCCCTGGACTCTTGATTGTCTCAGGAACGGCACTAGGGAAACAAAAAGTTGCATAAACATGAAAACTCGGAGGTCCGCGCGGATTTTTCGGATCGGCGCCGGGGCTCCCCGGCGGCGCCTCTGGCGCCGCCCCTGGCGCGCTCCGCGCGCCAGGGAGGGGGGTCCAGCGCCGATCCGAGAAGTCCGCGCGGACCTCCGAGTTTTTATATTTAGTCACTTTTTGATCCCTTAAACATCGCCCTGGTGGGCGGTGCACCGCCTGCATCGGTCCGCGCGTTCCTCGCCCACGGAATAAGAAAAATGGCACCCGTTGGCTCTCGACCATCACGTAGATTTGCATGTCATCCGACACGGGGTCACTGGCATGAGCACCCCCGCCCCCCCCCTCCCCTCCCGCGCCCCCCCCCCCTCCCCCCCCTCCCTTCCCCCCCCCCCCCCCCCCCCCCCCCCCCCCCCCCTCCCCTCCCTTTTCACCCGCGCCGCCTGTCCGAAAACACTCCCGAACGCTTGGAATACGACGCGGGGGCGCAGACAAGCCGTGGGATACCGTCTTTCTGGTTTCGCGAATGTTGGCGCCGACTCTGCGGATTACTATGTCAGGTGCTTTGCGAGGGTGAGATTCATCAACCCACATCTCCCACATCTGCCCGCGACCTGGGGTTCGGATTTCGCACCAACAGTATCCCCGCACTTCGTCCAGGCTAGTGCGTCTGATTCCCTCTCTCATGCTGTCGCGCTTGATGTCTATCACCCATCAGGAACCTGGCGAATTCAGCATCAGCGTTCATGGATTCCAGATGTTGCTTCAGGAACTCACGAGCCTGGGCTGGGCCTTGGGCGTCGTCTTGGGGATTCCATGTGCGTGGAATGCTTTCGTATGTCTGGACTTGGACTACTGTCTAAGACAACGCTTGGTGCAAATGGCCTTTTCTCAGCCTACAGACGGGGCCCTGAAGAAGGAGCCTTTTTTGTTGGGGAGGGGCTCCGTGTTCCTTAGTTGCTTCACAGTGCTCCCCGGGTTTTCCTATGTTTCCCTTAGGCGTTCCACGGAAATCGGAGTTTCATATGTGGGAAAAATGGGACCTCGTTCCTTATTTATCGTTCCTTAGGTCAACGCCCCATCTGTAGCAGGGGTGTGCATGCCTCCTTCTCTGTCAGCTTCGCCTTCGCCGCGCCCCCCCCCACCCCTGCCTCAGCCAAGGTGCGTGCAGCGGGGGCCTACTGCCAACAAGCCTGGGCCCTGCCAGCGCGCGGTATCACCCCCACCGCGGCGGCGAGGTCAGGGCCACAGGGGCAGTGCTGCTCACAGGAGGGCACAAAGCAGGCAGATGCACATCCACCATCCTCCTGATCCAGAGAGGCGCACAGGAGGCGGTCACCAGGGCCATCGTTGACCAAGTCAAGCAGTTCTGGCTCACTGTCGTGGACCACCCGTCGGAGCTCAAGCGGTGCCAGAGAGGCTGGCACATGCTGCGCGGCACGCTGAAGGCCCTGGAGCCCAACAAGAGGTGGTACCAGGTAAAGGGCCCCATGGCAGGAGTCATTGTGCAGCTGCTGGGGCTGGGCTGGAACCCAAGGCGGCTGGGTAGCTGGACCAGCCCAGCAGGAGCGTGGGCGCACCGACCAGAAGACATCCCACACTTCGGAGCGCTCCTCCAGGAGGTCCAACAGAGCGCCCATCAACAGCTGTGGCAGCAAGCGGCAGAGCACCGGCACGGCGCAGGACTGAAGGAGGGAGGCGACCTCTACCATCTGCAAAGACACTTGAGGAGGAGGCGACGCAAAGGGCAGCAAGCTGAAGCGGCCATGCTGGAGACCATTGCAGTGGCAGGTATTTGGACGCGGGAGCGGCGCAGAGAAGCGAACCTCGACCAGGAAGGCGAAGACAACTGCGCCAGGTGCGGAGAGGCCATCGAGACGGAAAAGCACCGCTACTGCACCTGCCCTGCAAACGAGGAGATTGGCCACAGCAACAACACATACCTAGTCAAGAAGGCCATAGACTCGCTCGGCCAGCAGCAGGACGAGCATTTCTGGCTCAGAGGTATCCCACCAGTAGCATGGGCAGTGAAAGTGGACCCAGAAGAGGACGTCGAGAAGGCGGCGCACATCTTCTGCACCAATGCGGAGGCACAAGCAGCAGTCCAGGAAGGCCACAAAGTCCAAGCTGACTACGTGTTCACGGACGGCTCTGGGGGGGCAGGCGAGACTGACAAGGACCCCAGGCTACGTAGATGTGGTTGGGCAACCGTGGCTTTCAAGTATGACCCTTACGGCCTGCCCCAGGAGGTGGCAGCTTGGCACGGCACAATAAGGGCGCCGCACACGGTGCCAAGAGCGGAGCTCACGGCCAGAAGCAAGGCGATCGGCTACACGACGGCGGCTTCAGCACGTGGGCTCAACATCGTCAGCGACTACAAGTGCGCCCTGGACGCCCTCAAGCAGATCCAAGACTCAGAAGACCTCGATTACAGGAGTACCAACTTCGACCTCTGGCTCATGGCCAAGCGGCAGCTCCAGAACAGCACCGACAACATCATGGGCCACCACATCCCCAGCCACATGGTCGAGCACCCGACGGAGCTGGAAAGGTGGACAGGGCCGACGTGGCGGGTCATAGGCAATGCGATGGCAGACAAGTGCGCAAGCTGGGGAGCGGAGCATGGGGCGCTGGACCCAGCCATAATTGCGCAGCAGCAGATCAGGGACCAGACCACGGTGGCAGTCCAGAACAGGCTGCTGGGCATCAGCATGGCGGTGATGGTTGATGACCCCAACAAGGCGACGCAGCGACCGGAGGCCAAGCGCAAAAGGCCACACAATGCAAGAGGGAAGGCAGCACAGCTCGGCCATGACCTGCGCAGGCTACACCCGAGATGGTGGTGTGCGACTTGCAGCAGCGGCCCCGCCAAAGGGCAAGGAGCACGAGCTTGGCTAGCCGAGGCGGGTGAATGCCAAGGAAGAGAGAGCAGCCACCTGGACCAGCACGGGAATGTAAGGCTCGATTTCAAGACAGTCTAGATCGGCACGCGGGTCGCCCACGACACCCACAAGATGCAGCTCGCGCAGGGCTGGCTCTGGTGCGAGAAGTGCGGGGCCACCAGCTACCTTGGGAACCACAAGAGACGAATCGTTGCAGGCGTTTCTCGCAAGCTGGCCAAGCCATGTGCCCCGCCCACCACAGCGGGGCGCAAGATCATTATGGACCTGCAGAAAGGGAGGCTGCCGCGAAGAGCAAAGCAGGACGAGGGCAAAACGGCAGCCGCGCCACCAGAGGAGGCCAAGACAGCGGGCTTCAACGGCTTCAACCTAAGGGTGAGCAACGCAGAGGTGATCGACCTGGACGGAGAAAGCTCGGAATCAGAGACACTGCAGCCAGTTCAGCCACAACCGCCAGGGCACCCCCACCCGGCAGCCCATATGAGCTGTCAGTTAGTGGACCACATGGAGGGCTACGCGGAGCAGTGGATGAACATGGTGGACCAGGACGTGTGGGAAGACAAGGACAACTGGATGGAGCACAGTGTCCCGCACCTGCTCGCCGTCATCACTGGAGGCAGGACGGGCGCCCAAGACCCAAAAAGTGCAGCCACGCCAAGGGAGATCCAGCAGACCAGCGACTTCTGCGAGGACATCTGGAAGAGCACCCACAACGCGAGAAGGAGGCTCGTGACACACATGCTCACCCTCCCGTGCGGCACCAGGCAGCAGGCGGCGAGGGCAGACATGGAAGCCTTCCTGGGCATGCGGACGACCATCATCACCCACAGCATCCCCAGCAGTGTGCGCAGGCCGCTAGCCAGTACGGAGGAAGGCCGCAGGGCGTGGACACCTGAGCAACTGAACTACGACTCAACGCAACCAGACAGCGAGGTGCCAGAGCTGGAAGGCCAAGGCAGTGGCCATGGCAAGGACACCGTAGAGGAGGTATACCAGCTCAACGCCACCACAACCAGCGACAGGGCCAGCAAGACCTTGCAGGAGACGCCAGGGATCGCCAAGCCGTCAGGGCCCGACCTGATGAAGTACGTGAGGGAGGCCAAGGAGGCAGGCATGCAGCACCCGCGACTCCGCCAGCAACGAGGAGAAGAAGAATACCCTGAGCGAGAGCAGGCCTGGCTCGAGAGGAACCGCCCTGAGCAGCACATGCAATCGCTGGCAGGAGGCTGGACCCAACGAGCAGGCGAGCGAGGCTGGCAGACGTGGAGTGCAGCGTGCGTACCTTATGTGCTGAGGATGCTCCAGACTGGCCCATGCCAGCGGCTCTTCAGTGACATCCCAGGGCCAGGCAGACAACGCAGCCAGCGCAGAGCGGCAGAGGACATCTGCCGCGTGGCCTGGTTCAACCGTGGAACGGAGCGCAGAAGGACCCAGCAGCAATGCCCAAGCGAGTCGGCACGCCGCAGGGCCACGGCAGAACTGCTCCTTGGAGCGGTCACGTCAACAGACAAACAAGAAGGAGGCCCAGCACCCCAGCGCGGTGAGGGGTTAGACCGCAGCGGCCCCAAGCCTGGCAAGGGGCCAGGCCACAGAGGACCCCGGCGCGGTGATGGGGTTAGACCGCAACGATCCCCAGCGCGGCGTGGGGTTAGGCCACGGCGGACTCCAGCGCGGCGAGGGGACAGACCACAGCAGGCCCCTGCGTGGCGAGGGGTCAGGCCACAGAGGACCCCAGCGCGGTGAGGGGTTAGACCGCAGCAGGCCCCAGCGTGGCGAGGGGATAGGCCACGGAGCACCCCAGAGCGGTGAGGGGTCAGACCGCAGGAGCCCCTAGCGCGGCGAGGGGTTAATCCACAAAGTCCCCCAGCGCGGTGAGGGGTTAGACCGCGCAGAACCCCAGAGCGGCGAGGGGTTAGGCCACAGAGGACCCCAGCGCGGTGAGGGGTTAGACCGCAGCAGGCCCCTGCGCGGCAAGGGGTCAGGCCACGAAGGACTCCTGTGCGGCGAGGGGGTAGGCCGCAGAGGACCCCAGCGCGGTTAGGGGTTAGGCCACAGCCCTGCGCCAGACGGGACGCAGAGGGGCGCCCGTCCCCCACCAGCAGGACGGAGCACCAAGGACACGGATTATTACGACCCCCTCCAGGACGAGGAGAACAGCGAGGACAGCGCCCAGCAGCCCACAAACAAGCGGGACGGATACAACAACCACCCGAACCCAGCAGACCTGGACAGCAACGGGCACCACATGGCAGGCTGCAGAGGGCCCCAGCGTGGCGAGGGGTCAGGCCACGAAGGGCCCCAGAGTGGGGAAGGGTCAGACCGCACCGACCCCCAGCGAGGCGAGTGGTCAGAACAAAGTGGACCCCAGCGCGGTGAGGGGTTAGACCGCAGCAGGCCCCAGCGAGGTGAGGGGCCAGGCCACCGAGATCCCCCGCGCGGCGAGGGGGTAGGCCGGAGAAGCCCCCAGCGGGGCGAGGGGACAGGCCACTGCCCTGCGCAAGACGGGATGCAGAGGGGTGCCCGTCCCCCACCAGTAGGACGGAGCACCAATGACATGGTTGACCCCCAGGACGAGGAGAATAGCGAGGATTGCCTCCAGCAGCGCGCTGACAAGCAGGACGGCATTGACATCCACCAGCTGTTCCCAGCCGAAAAGGACAGCATCGGGGACCACCTGGCAGACCGCGCTGGCCCCCAGCGCGGCGAGGGGCTAGGCCACTAAGGAACCCAGCGTGGTGAAGGGTCAGACCGCAGCAGGCCCCAGCAAGGTGAGGGGCTGGGCAGTGCAGGGCCCCAGCGCGGCGTGGAGGCAGACCTCAGAGGACCCCCGCGCAGCGAGGGGTTGGGCCACAGAGGACCCCAGCGCGGTGAGGGGTTAGACAGCAGCCGCAGCAGGCCCCTGCGTGGTAAGGGGTCAGGCCACGGAGGACCCCAGCGCGGTGAGGGGTTAGACCGCAACGATCCCCAGCGCGGCGAGGGGTTAAACGATCCCCAGCGCGGCGAGGGGTTAGGCCAGGGTGGACCCCAGCGCGGTGAGGGGTTAGACCGCAGCAGGCCCCTGCGCGGCGAGGGGTTAGGCCACAGAGGACCCCAGCGCGGTGAGGGGTTAGACCGCAGCAGGCCCCAGCGTGGCGAGGGGTTAGGCCACGGAAGACCCTTGCGCGGCGAGGGGTTAGGCCGCAAAGAACCCCAGCGTGGCGAGGGGTTAGGCCACAGCCCCGCGCCAGGCACGGAGGCCGTGAATGCCCAAGGGTCCAGGGACCAGCGGCCAGAGCGGCCCCTGGAAGTGCGCAGAGCAGAGGAGCGGCAGCGGCCGTCTATCAGGCTGCTCCTCAAGCTCTGAGGGAGGCGGCAGCAATGCTTCAGACTGCTGCCGCTCGAGGGGCTACTCGAGGAGTAAACGAGTGGCGGCAGCAAGGACGCCGTGCGATGAGGCCGCTGGCCCACCCCGCCTCGGGTGCTTTGTGCCTGCGCGGGGTGCCGAGACCAGGGGCACCCACTCACGGGCGAGAGCACGCGGGTTTAAACTCCTCCTCCTCCTCCTCCTCCTCCTCCTCCTCCTCCTCCTCCTCCTCCCTCCTCCTCTCCTCCTCCTCCTCCTCCCCTCCTCCTCCTCCTCCTCCTCCTCCTCCTCCTCCTCCTCCTCCTCCGCCTCCTCCTCCTCCTCCTCCCCCCCTCTTCGGCCACCGACGCACTGCATGGGCGCCTTCGCGCTGCCGCCTTCGTCGCCCCTCGGCGGGTAGCGGGCCGTGGCGGTGTGGCTGCCGGCGCGCTCTCTCGGCGGCATCGGGGCCTCCTGCTCCGAGCTCCTGCTCCGAGCTCCTGCTCCCGATCCCTCTGCGGGGCTCGCTCTCGATGACGATGGGAGGCACGTTCCGCCGAGCTACTGCCTGAGAGGGGCGATGGGTGCATGGTCCCAGACAACAGTTCCCAAATTATCTGCTCGCCAAAGCGCATGTCTTCCGAGTGTGGATCCTCCTCCGTGACCCTCGTCTTGACCCTCCTCCTCCTCCTCCTCCTCCTCCTCCTCCTCCTCCTTGACCCTCGTTGTCCCATCTAGGGGGGTAAATCGGCCAGTGGGGCCCAGGCCACGCCGCTGGGGATGGGGATCGGTTGAACGATGCTCAGAAGGGTTCTCTTCGATCCCAAGGTACTCTTCGATCCTTCTCCTCCTTGACCCTCGTTTTCCTCCTCGATCGACCCCTTCGTTTTCCTCCTCTTCCATCCTCCTCCTTGACCCTTGACCCTCGTCTTCGACCCCCCTCCCCATCGATTTTCCTCGGGCACCTCGGGGCTCGGGGAGCCTGCCGCAGAACAGGGCCGACGGATCCAGGCCCTCCAGATGGGGCCATGTAGTCAGGAGGGCAAAACAAACACACACAGACAGGATGAAAGAAACACACAGACACACATTTTGTCGTCGACTCCCAGGCAAAGATAGGAAAACATGGGAAGTGGGGGGAAGACAAAACATATATGGGAGCATATGGGGAATCCTGGGATTTGTGTGTACTTGTCCGTGTGTCCCTGGGCCCCTTCGTCCAGATGGATGTGCTCACCTGTAGAGCTTGTCCGCTCTTCACCCCCTCCGCTTTCCTCCTTCCTCCCCGCAAGAAAAAAACAGTTCCCCGCGGAAGACCTCGGGCCCATATATATATATATATATATATATATATATATATATATATATGCCGGCGGAAGGGGATCGGGGCCGCCAGGCCAGTACCTGCGCCCCATATGGCCGCCCCGGGGCTCCGGGAACGCTCCTGCCCGGGCCAAAGGGATGCCAAGACGTGCCAAGGGAGGCGCAAGTGGCCCCCAAACCGATCCTAGACGGCCCCGGGGCGCTCAAAGATCGCCCCTGGACGCTCAAGATGGCTCCCACTGAGCCCAAGAAGCCGCTAAAACGCCCCAAGTTGCTTTCCAACTGAGAGCCCCAAGCGGCCAACATTTGCATACGAAAACGCGCATGTTTAGTACTCTTGCTCGTTCTGGAGGGCCCTCGTCTCCACGGCTGGATTCTCCTTGACATTCTGGTCAGGATGTACTCTCCTCCTCCTCCTCCTCCTCCTCCTCCTCCTCCTCCTCCTCCTCGTGGCGGTATCGGAATCTTTTCGTTCCCCCGCCCTCCCCTGACTTCGGGTCCGCTTTTTGGGGGGGCGATTTCGCACGCAGGCCCTCCGCGCCCAGGCACGGGGTCCGGCGCCGATCCAAGAAATCGCCGCGGATTCCAACAGATTTTGCAGAAAGACTTCTTTTGGTTTGGGAGGATGGGGCTGGGAGACAGGATCGTGTCATCCATCTTTACCGCCCACGTTGAAGGCGCTTCACGGTCGTACCCTGTGCCTTCCCAACCCCTTCCCCCCGGCACGAAAATGGATCACATCAGAGAATGGCCCCAACCAGTGGATGGTCTGAAATGGGATCGATACAGAAGTCGACAAGGAGATCGAGCGGGAACCTGGGAACCCGGAACCCACCAGAATCTGCGCGGAACCCATGACCAGGAACCCGGGAACCCGGAACTAACCCGGGAGCCCAGCCGGCTACCAAAGTCGGCGGGAAATGTTCGCCAAATCTCTCAATTTCTGCGAGGTCCCCTTCACTGCCGCCGCCGGGTAGCAATACCCTTGAGGCTTGAGGGGTGTCTTTTTGATTCTCACCCGTGCATGGTTTTTCCCGCACTGCATGATTCACGCCGTTCCCGCAAGCGGGACGAGACGTCCTTGGACGCTCGATCGGACGTTCTCTTTCTTTCTCTTTCTCCCCTTCACTGCAAGCACTGGTTGGGGAATTTCTCATGTTTGGTTCCCTTGGCTCGGACTCACGGCGGAGCGCCCAGCACTGGCCAGAAGCGCGTGGGCTCGGCCCCCTTCCCCCTTGTGGCCCTCGAGAGCCGCGCACAACAGAGGTCTCCTCTCCTGCCTAGGGTCGGAGCGTGAATTACCTACCCCGCTTTCGCTTCCAGGCGAAACCAAGTCATACCACGCGCCTCCTCGTCAAGCGGCCTGACCAGTACAGGCTGCAATTTGGCATCGTTTGGTATCTCTTGGAAGCGAGGGTGGTCAAAAGCGAGGTAGGTTCGTTTTCCCCCTATAGGGTCGCTCCTTACGCACAGCAAGTCCTCAAGGAGCGGGTCGGCGGCGAGCGAGGGACAGAGAGAGAGAAGAGGGGAGAGGGAGAAGGCAAGTGAGAAAGAGAAGGCCCTCAATGTCGAGGGGACGTGAGAAAGAGAAGGCCCTCTCAGACGGCAGCGGGGCTTCTCAGAAGCCCTCGCACCTTCGAGGAGTGTTCTGCGTCTTCGGGGAAGGCTGGGAAAACGTTTCAGAAGGCGGGGGGCCTTCCGAGCCTTCTGATAAGGCTTGCGACCCCCCCCTTCTAGCTTCCCCCGCGGGCTCGCCGCCGAATCGAGAATCGGGGTTCGACGATCGAGCGCCTCCTCCACGGTGGTCGTGGATTGCAGCTATAGGGCGCTTTTGCAGTGGTCAGATCTGCGCCGTTCATTTCAGTCGGCGTCGCGGCCGTCGTCGTCGTCGTCGTCGTCGTCGTCGTCGTCGTCGTCGTCGTCGTCGTCGTCGTCGTCGTCGTACCTAGTGGTAGTGATCGTCGCCGTCTGAAGTCGCAGTTGTCGTTGAGGTCAACGATGTCGTCGTCGAGGATGTCCTCGCCCGTCGACGATCGAGGTACACAGACTCCCCCCCATCCACAGTGGGGTCCTGCAGGGCCGGTGCAGGTTGGAAACCCATGGGTTCGGGAAAGCGCGCGCTCCCAGCGCTCCGCGGTGGCAACTTCGGCAGAGGACTGGCACAGTAGCGGCAGCAGTGTGACGTGGGGCGTGCGGCGCTCGTCGCCCGTGCAGAGGGCGCGTCGCCCCTGGACTGCGTCTGCTGTGCCCCGTGGCGTCACCCGGGTGTTGCGTCGGGCATGCCGTCGGAGAATCAAAGGGGGGGAAAAAACACCCAGACCCGATAATTGGCGTTCGCTACGCGGCCCTGAGCGTTTACTGGACGGCCCCGCCATGTTCGTCTCCTTCCTTCGGGTGCGTTTGCGAGACGGCCTCGCTTGTCGGGTTGGTTCTTGTGGGGGTGGATTTCTGCCCTCGGGGAAGACACCCACGGCACCTCTGTGGCCAAGTACCCTAGACAGCTTCAGACAGTTACACGGCTGGAGGGGCACGATCGGGGGGGGGGCCACGATTGGCCACCGATGCTCGTAGCTCGGGGGCTTCCTCACAGGGCAGTGGAATAATCAAAAGGAGCCCTGAAACAGGAGTTGCTGTTGGGGATCTGGCCTATTGAGATTTAGAGTCCTAGCAGCTGCATGCTTGCCGATGCTCTGCGTTGCTGCCGACTGCTGCTGTGATGTGAACTGCCAGGCTGCAGTGCCCAGAGCCAGATCGGGAAGCAGCCAGAACATGATCTTTGGGCTCCCACAGAGAGGGCTGCGGATGGAGACCGCAGCACCGGTGCAGCTGCGGCTGCTGGTGCCCGTGCTGATGTTACGCATGCTGACTACCCTTGCCAACTTTCGGCCCATGCGCAGCTGAGATTTGCCGCAAGCTCTCCCGTCGCTCGAGGCCCTGCCCAAATTTCCAGCCTGGCGCGCCGCATTTGCGCGGCGCCTCACGGTCTCGATGAGCGCGTTGGCCAAGCAGCCCATACGACGGCTGCTCCTCACGGCGTACTGCGGCACGGCGTGCTGCGTGTTCTTTGTCGTGTGCGTCTTGTCCGTAGCCCTGCTCGTGATGTTGAGAGACACGGTGCTGGAGGAGTCCGAGGAGGCTCTCCGCAACCAGATCTACTTGAACAGCGGCCACCTGCTCACCGAGAGCGGGGAGGTGTTCTCGGCCAAGCTCACCACTGGCCTCCAGACCCTTGCGCTGCCGGCGGCGTACTCTGTGGCCGACGTGCACTTCAGGGGGGACTCATACTCGACGAGGCCGGGCAGGAGCTACGCCGACACGAGCGTCAATCATCTGAAGCAGGACGGGATCACTACGGCTGGCGGGCTGTTCGCGTGCAACGCCAGCGAGCCCCTCGCCGACCAGAGCCGGCGTGGCTGCGTGAGCAGCTTGCGTCGGTATTCCCCTGGGACCTCCTCCTGCTATTTGTCGGGCGTCTTCCCATTCAACGGTGGCTGGCGGTCATACTCGTATCCGAGCGAGTCGGACAACCTGCTGGAGGTGTACGCCGCATCCCCGTTTGTCGAAGACGGGGTTCGCACCACCGCGGTGATGGATGACTTCATCCGCGTGCCGTTCGAGAACATGCCTGGATGGAACGGCGCATACGTCGCACTTGAACACGTCGATTCCGCCGACGCAGGAAGTCCTAGTTCTTTCCGCCAGTTTCCTGGGTTCGTCGGTGACCTTACGAACTCGGGGGGCAAACGAACTTACAACCCAAGCACGCGTCCATGGTACACCAGCCATGCGTCTAAGCCAATCGTCAGCATGGACAATGAGAAGCTTGGTCAGTACGAGATGGAAGTCACCGAGCCGTACCTCGACAAGTTTGGCAACGGCTATCTGATTAATGGGGCTGGCGCTGCCTTCCCCGACGCCGTGATCTCATCTTGGGACGGCAAAGTTCTGATTCGGAGAGAGGGAAGGAAGCGGGGAAGCAGACTAGGAGAAGGATATAATACAACACGGATGGGCAGACGGTGTAGGAGGGCAATGAGGAGGATGTGGAGGCGGGGGATACAGGCATACATGTGTGTTGATATATGTATGTATGTGTATGTACGTATATAAATACACGTACGTACATGAGAGGGAGGGAGAGATGGTAATGGTAAGCGGAAGGAAACATATGCGGAAGAGTGAGGGCAATCTGTTGTAATGCTTGCTGTTGCATCTTGGGGCCATCCTGGGGCTTCCCGGGGTTGTCGTGGGGCTCTTCGGCCCTCTCGTTGGCATGTTGGTGCCCCCCTGTTCTGTGGGGGGGGGGGGGGCCTGCGATGGCATTCTGGGGGCCCCGCTGGGTTGTTTATGCGAGCTCTCAGGGCCGTCTTGCGTCACCTTGACGGCCTCCCAGGGCTTCAAAGATTGCCGGGGCTCTTGCGGAGGCCCACTTGGGTCTCACCCTGGGGCCGCCGTGGACCCCGTCAGTCCTACCAGGCTATCCTGGGCCGAGAAGCTTGAGCAGCAACGCGCGCTGAACAACCCAGATCTCTTGGAGCTCTCTTGGGGCTTCCCGGGTCGTCTCGCAGGCCTGTTGGCCTGTGCCCCTGACATCCCATGGCCCGCATGGGCACCGCCGTGTGGGCCCAGGAACTCCCGGGCCGTTCCGAGCGCCTCCCAAGACCTCAGGCGTACGTCCACGACGGGTGGCCGTTGCCGCTTGGGCGCTGGGGCCATCGGACGGCACAGGGCAGGTGCGCCGCGAGGAGACTGGGACGTTGGAAGTCTGGGCCCCTTCTGCCCCCCGATCTTGGAAGTCTGAGGTGCTGGGAGGCTTCCAGCGAGAGGCAGACATGTCCCACGCCTGTGCCCACAGGGGTCGGCGGATCTCGATCACAGCTTCGATTCCGCGATCCAGCGGCGCTCTTCCGGGCGTCGCCGGCACGGACATCCTGATCGAGCAGTTGCTAAGCATCGTCAGCGACCTGAAGCTGAGGCAGACAGGCGTCAAGCAGTGGCGAAGCGTCCCGGCTCGCCTATAGCCCCACCAAACAATGTTCTAAGAACCTTTTGTGGTTCCCACGAAATGTTCTTAGAACATTTTTGGCTGGGCCTGTCTTGTTTTAACACATCGGGTTTATGTTCTAAGCACATTTTTTGTTATTCGAACATTCTTTGGTTCTGCGAACATTTCGTGGTATGACTATAGGAATGCCGGGACGGTCGGTCCCTGCTCAAAGGCGAGGTTCACCTCTACCACTTCGAGTCGGAGACCGTGGCGGCTTCCCCGCAGTGGTCGGCCGCCGCTGATGGCGGCACCATGCGGATTACCGACGTCAAGCTGGACGACGAGGCCAGCGCGACAGCAACGATCCCGTCGGGCAACGACTGCGATGGCCACACGGAGTTCGATGAGCATCTGGTCATTCGGCGGCCAGCGTGGGACGGCGATTACTGCCTCGCTGCCGTCGTCAAGATCGCAGAGGTTGTGGCGCCCATTGAGGAACAGAAGGACGACATTGAGTCAACAGCAAATTCATTAGTGTTGACAGTGGTGGTGATCATCGTGTGCTGCTTCGTTTTTTTGGTGATGCCCTGCACCGTACTTCTCTCCATGCAGCTGTCCAAGCCGCTCGTGGAGACCAGCAGACAGAGCCGGATCATCGCGAGGAATATTGGTGGAGACTTGCTGCAGGACGTGTGGATTGACTCGGGGGGGCCAGGCACCACGGGTCAGCGAATTGTTCGGGCGGGTGAGGCAGAGAGGAAGCGTTGCTTCGACGGCGGCATCGGAGAGGTCACTGAGCTGCGTGCGGGCTTCGTCAACACCCTCGCACAGCTGCAGATGAAGCGCGACGCGCCGCCAACGCCCGCGCTGAACCCCCTCTTCACGAAGGTGCTGCCAGACGAGCAGGGTGACGACGCCGACCCCAACGCCCCTTCTGGCGCTGTGGCGTCCCTCGTCGAGGAGAAGGTCGGCCAAGTGACCGTCCAGTACTGCGACCCAGCGCTGCAGCGCAAGAACACCCTGATGGTAATCCCTGAAACGAAATGCTACAATCAGATCAGCGTGCGCCTAATTCTGCAGCTGGTGACCCCCTTGGCGGTTGCGCTGCTCGTCATCGTCGTTGTTACGACGACGCTGATGCTCTCCAAGATCTCCCAGTGGATCGGGCCAGTCACGGACATGATGATTCAGGAAGAGTTGACCTCCCTGGACCTCAGGTGCCAGCAACGGGCGGAGCTCGTGAAGGAGACGGTGGGATCCGCGATGAAGACTTTGCTCATGATCCAGGCGTACGCAGCCCTGCTCTACAGTGGCTCAGCGGACATGTCCCTCCACTCTGGTTACAACACTGCCTTTGCTGGCATTTCATGCCCGAGTGGAACTGGACCCTTCACCTGCAACCTGAATTTCAGGCCTGTAAATGAAATTGACGAGAAGAGGGTGCCGGGGCGGCGGATCAATCTTGAGCATTCGGCCTGGTTTGCGCCATCTTCAAGCGCTGCGCCGTCTGGTTGGAGGCAGTCGTCGTCGGTGGTGTCGGACATTGGGGACGCGTACCTAGACCAGCAATTCGTGGACGGAGACCCGTCGTACAGTGGGAATTCCCGCGCGTCCCACCTCGACAACGTGGCCCGGGTGGCTTATTTTTCGTCGGACGTCACCGACGTCTATTCAACCGCTTTGCACACTCCGTCGGCCCATACTGCAGCTTCGCTTATTTTTGCTTGCTTGCTTGCTCGTAGCGACTGGGACAGCTATTGGGGTGCTGTGGATTCCTCGAACTGCCGCTTGAAGCTTACGTGGGGGAGAAGCAGTCGCTTGTTACATCGAGTCCGCCCTAAAGCACGCTACGACAATTAAGAGCTTTTCGTGAGCTGTTGGAGCCTCTTGAGAAGCCTTGGGGGTATTCTGGAGGCTGCTGGAGACTTCCTCGTGGCCTCTGAGGGGCTTCTTGGGGCCTCCTGGAGCTGTCTTGGGCCCTTTCGGGCTGATTAGCTGGTGATTCTTGGGTGCTGTCTTGGACCATTTTGGGCCACCTTGGGGCCATCTTGCCGCATCTTGGGGTTGAGCTCACTTTGAGCCTTCTCGAGGCCCTCTTGGAGGGTCTTGGGGATCTCTCAGTGCTCCTGGTTGGGGCCTGTCAGGGGCCTCGCAGGGGCTCCCTTTAGCCTCGCGGAGAAAGCTCGGAACACCGAGGCTTCCAAAGGCCCGTTGTAACGTGAGAAGTTCTGAACACCGGCGCTCCCAAGAGCGAGCGGTGACGTAAAAAGCTTTGAACACCAAGGACCCCAGGAGCTTACAGTGACGTGACAAACTGTGCATGCAAGGGTTCCCAAGGGCGAGCGGTAACGTAGAGAGCTCTTGACACCAAGGCTTCTAAGAGGGGACGGTGCCATGAGCCATCTCATGCAAGTTCCTGGAGCGCTCTTTCCGTCCTCGTACCGGCCCAGATTTGCCACGCCGATGGCCCGATGGGCCGGCGAATTTTGGCTGGGAGTCAAACGAGGCCTACCGCGTGTATCCGTACAGGGAGTTCAGCTCGTGGTACTGGACCACCAAAGACGCCACCGTGAACGGCTGGGTGTGCGGCACCGTCACTGCAGGTTACACGCCACTTTGCCGGGATTGGTACCAGGATGCCGTGGCAGAGGGGGGCGACCCCGTCTACGGCACTGTGGCCTTGGATCCAGACAGCAACCAGCCGTTTGTCCCACTCAGCGCAGCCTTTTACGACGGTAGCGGCAAGCTGGTGGGGGTGACCGCCGTCTCGTTGGGCTTAGGCAGTCTGAAGGAGACGCTCGAGAACACCCCGCTGTACGAGGGCGGCTACGCCTACATCTTCGACGAAAACGGCAACGCGGTGATCCACCCTGACTGGACTGTGGAGGCGATGGCCCAGGGTACCGCCAACGTGGCCGATCTCGCTGCCTGGGGCGACCTTGAGTTCCGCGACGCCTACCAAGCGGGCGTCGTGGGGGCATACGGGACGACGGGAGAATGGAACGGCGAGTGGTACAATCCAGACACGGATGAAAAAGAAATTTGGTATTATGCCTTCAGGCATATCCCCGACACCCCCTATCAGCTTGTCATGGGCGTTTCGGAGCTCGAAGCGAAGAAGGCCGCCCAGACACTCCAGGATGACCTGACCGCGTTGGCCATCGGACAGTGCGTGACGACCTCCATCATCTTGGTCATCACTTGCGCTGTGCTTGTCTTGGTATCTTTGTGGGTCCAGAGGCGCTTCATCAATCCCGTGAAGAAGCTAAGAGACATCGTGACCCAGGCGGAGAAGGAGGGCTACAAGACTGACGTGGACATGGAGGACGAGGTCATGTCCAACGAGCTCACGACCCTGAGGATAAACTTCAAGAAGCTGCTCACGGCGCTGCGCTTCAACAACCCGGACTACCACAGGCACCAACAACCATGGGAATATTTGGCCGAGGCATTTTGTTGATAGCCCATGAGGCCCCCCCCCCGAGCTCACTTACAGATTCCCCGAGGCCCTCCTACCCCTTGGCAGCACTCGCAGGCCCACCACTACTGCGACGGCCACGACGACGTACAGCGGCGGCGGCCGACGGCGGCGACGACGCCGCAAACGGGGACTCCGACGATGACGACGACCCGACGACCTTTTCCAGCCACAGGGGCAACAAGCAGCTGGAGCTGCAGAACCTCCGCGCCGCGGAGGCGATCGTGAACGAGACGGGGAACGTCCGCGGCATCGGCGTCTGCAAGAACAACCTGGGCAGCCTGGCCCGGCCGAATGCTGCCTCCTCTCACTTCCCCTCCCGTGTTCGCCCGGGCCATCCTGTGGACTCGGGCCCTCCGTTTCTCTCCGCCCCGCCGAGTGCCCCCCTCCCCCCCGGCCCCGCTCCCTCCACCCGTCGCTCCCCGCCTTCCCGTGTGGCTGGGCCTCGCGTGCCCCGCCTCCTCCCGCCCCAAAATCCCTCTCTCCCCCGTGCTCCGCTGGCCGCCGCAGCTGCTGTCACCTCGCTGTCAGGGCTGCTGTCTGTGCCTTGGCATCACTCGGACGTGCGCATTTTTCCTTCGGCGAGGACCATCGAGGAGCATCCTTGATCATTTGGTGAAGAAAAACGCACGACCCCCCCCCCCCAAAAAAAACACAGGGAATGGGCGTCCGAGCGATGGCCAGGTGCTGCCCACGCATCCGCTTCCCCTGGGATCCTGGCGCTTCGTTGTTGCACCCTGGGCGATGCTGCCTTCTTCCACGGGTCCTGGGGCCCTCACGGACCGAGCCGGTTCGGAAGTTGCAGCCGAAGGGCGGGGTGTGGGGCTTCAGTCTTGGTTGCTCGGGATGTTCCATTTTTCGTGACGTCGGATGGTAGGGTCGGCGCTCCTTCTACGGATCGTTCCCAGTAGGGAGCCCTAGCTACGGTCTCAGTAGGAGCATGCGCATGGCGTCGTCCCGCTCAGTTCGGCACGCTCATTACGTGGAAAGGGGCCTCATAGGGAGCTCCGGCTACGGTCCCAGTTTGTGTGTGTGTGCGCACAGCAACAGCACATCCCTGTCGAGGACCGCCCGGACCCTGTAACCAGGAGGGGGCTTCGAGTACTGTCCTAGTGGGCATGCGCATATCATCGCTCCCGCTCCAATTGCTGTCCCAGGTTGGGTCTGCGCATAGGGAGACACCGCTCATGTTGGCACACACCTCTTACGGATCGCGCCCCACACGGAGCTCCACGCACTGTTCCAATGAGGGCGTTTGCATGCGGTCCCCGCCCTGTTTCAGTACACCGCATGCGCGGATGGGGGCCCAGAGCCCAGAGGGAGCTCCACGTCATGCGCGGCGTCGCCCAGCCATTCCGGCACACCCCTCACTCGGATCGTGCTCTTTGAGGAGCCCCTCCTGCGACCCCCATTCAATTTAGCTCGCACGGCGTCCTTGCTTCGCGCCCCGTAGAGAGCTCCACGCACAGGCCTAGTGGGGGCGTTTGCATGGCGTTACTGTTTGCATTCGGTACGCCCCTCGTACGTGTCGCCTTCCGCAGAGAGCCAGCCTGCGCCAGTTTGAGTGCCTGCAGGGTGTCTCCGCCTCTACTGGGCAAGCCCCTGACACGGATCCTGCCCGACAGGGAGTTTCAGCCACGGCCTCGTCGGAGGGTGTCCCCGCCTCAATCTGGCACGCCGCTCACACAGATCGTTCACTTTGGGAGCCGGGGCGTCCGCATGGCGCCCCTGCTTGGTGTGAGCCCACCCCTTGCACAGATCGTGCCCCATAGGCCCACAGGGAGCTCGAGTTGTTTCAATCCCTCCTCTGGCGCGCAGTGTGTGACGAGGGGGCCCCCCCCCTGCCGGACTGACCTGGGCACCCCGGGAGGCGTTCATGGGCGGCCGGCCGCGGCTCGAGAGGCTGGTCAGGTTGGCGTCCAGGAGGGGTCGGGCAGTGCTGAGGGGGGGGGGCACCACTTCATCGGTTCCTCCTGAGGATTGAGGCTCCAGGATCGAAGCTCGAGGGCGCCTTCTGGCGGTTTTTGGGGTCGTGTGGGTTGGCTATAGCCTGTCTGTGGGGGCCCGGTGCCGAGGAGGACATTGTGTGCTCTCTCTAGGAGGTGGCGACCCCCTATAGTGGTGACCTCCCCTGGCACGGCCCGAAGGGGCCCACAAAATTATTCAATCGCTGCGCCCACTTCGCCGGCCCATTTCTGGGCACTGCTGCGTCGACTGGCCGAGTGGTCGTTGGCGGTGTTGAGCTGCAGGGTCGTCGGCTGTTTTCTGCTGGAGCATGATGCTGGAATCATTTTGCGCGAGAGTTCCTGGGATGGCCCAGGCCCCCAGGGGTCGCGGAAACTATCCTGCCGGGGGGCCCAACGCTGTGCAGGTGTGAGTGCCGCGGTTGTGAGTACCGTCTTCGGTGGAGCTCCCTGTGGAGCGACGAACTGTGTGAAGGGAGTGTCGAGATGCGGTGCGCCGTGATGGGTGCTGGGGACGCGTGCGAGCACTGCCACCGGGGCCTTGGGTCAGGATCTCCATCGGGAGTCGAAACGTGTGAGGGGTGTGCCGGACCGAGTGGGACGCATGCGAACGGCGCCACTGAGACCTTCTGTGGAGCTCCCGATGGGGCCACGAAGCGCATGAGGGGTGTGCCAGAATGGGTGGTGGGGACGCACGCGGACGGTGCCTCTAGGACCTTTGGTGGAGCGCCCTATGGAGCCACGAAGCGTTTGAGGGGTGTACAGAAATGGGCGGCGGGGACGCAGGCGAACGGTGCCACTCTGACCTTTGGTGGAGCTCTCTACGGGGCCACGAAACGTGTAAGGGATGTGCCGGAATCGGTGGCGGGGACGCACGCGGACGGTGCCATTGTGGCCTTGGGTCGTGGCGCTTCCTATGGGGCCACGAGGCGTGTGAGGTGAGTGCCGACCGGTTAACGTGCGGAGGGCAGAGGGAAGATGATGGGAGGAGGGACGAGGGAGAGGTGGGGCGAGAAGGGCAGGGGGAGCGACGCTGGGCGTTGTCTCTTCAAAACGAGGACCCTACACCACAGGATGGTTGTGAGGAGCACCGCGGACTTACTCTTTGCATTTCGGAGTGGCGGGGGCCGTTTGAAGGCCCCTGGACACGATTGCCCGCGGCAGGAAAGAACAGTCCAGGGGATAGCGTCCCGAGCTCCTGGGCTTTCGGAGGTCTGGTCCCAAACAGTTTGTTGAAGTATTTGCTTGTCTCTACTGTGTGGCTCTCATGGCCACGGCTGAGCGCGGCTCGAATAACTTGTCAGGACGGTGTCCAGGAGGGGTCCGGGGACCCGGTAGGGCCGAGGAATCCTGAGTAGAATTCGACGATCGCCAGCGTGGACCCCAAACAGTGTGTTTCTAGAAATATAGGGTACAATCTATGTTGTACAGTATATGGTGTGCATTCTACGCGATGCAATACATATTGTGCCAGCTAGGTTGTGCAGTCTAATTGGTACAATCTATATCGTGCAATCTGTGTGGCGCAACGTATGTGGTGCAATAGCTGTTTTGTATTCGGTGTGGTGCAACATCTTTTGTGCAGTCCAGTTGGTGCCCTATATGCGGTGCCATCGATATTGTGCAAGCTATGTGGTGTAGTCTCTAGTAATCGATGTGTTGCAACAGTACATACATAGTGTGCAATAGATGTGGAGCAATCTAGGTTGTGCAATACATTTGGTGCAACCTACGCGGTGCAATATCTGATGTGCAAGCTATGTGGTGCAACTTCTGTGGTTCAATCTACGCGGTGCATTTTATGTGATGCAATCTATGTGGTGCAGTCGATGTTGCGCAATCTAGGGCGGCGACGAGACGGCGACGGGGAAGCGACGGCGGCCACAGAGCCGCCAGACCCGCAGACGGGCCTAGACGACGGGCAGCGACGATGCGGCGACGGGGCGGAGACGGCGGTCACATAGTCGCCAGACTGAAGACACGGCCCAGGCGTCGGGCGGCGACGAGGCGACGACTGGGCGGCGACGGCGGCCAAACAGCCGCCAGACCGAAGACACTGCCCAGCTGCCCCGTTCCATGGAGCAGAAGCAAGAACCCCTAAGTGCAAGCATTGTCTGGGGAATAGGGCCGGGCCGAGGACTCCTGAAAACCCACGGAAGGTGTTCGAAAGCATGCGAAATCCGCCAGAAAGCACTCGCCAGGGGAGGCGACGAGCAAAGCATATCTGTGGCCTCCCTGGGCCGAGCTGGTGGCGGAAAGCCTTGTCGAGATGAAGACGATGAACGACGACGACGACGACGATGACGACGACGACGACGACGACGGCTGCGTTGACGACGACGGTAACGGCGACGGCGATGATGACGACGGCGGCGGCGGCGATGGCGGTGACGATGGCGACGGCAGGAACGACGACGATGACGACGACAGTGGCGGCGGCGGCGACGATGGTGATGGCGAGGACGGCGACGGCACGGACGGCGACCGTCAGCGCAGGCAACCTGGTCCGGGGCATGGACAAGCTCTCCAGGGATGCTCTGCCAGCCCAGGCAGCGCGCTCCTCTTCCTCCTCCTCCTCCTCCTCCTCCTGCTCACCCATGGTCGGTCAGTCAGAAAGAACCCAGTTACATGTATCCCAAGCGTGGTAAAGACGGCGAGGAAAAACGTGTGGCCGTTCAGCATACGAAGAAGGACGCACATCAGGTCCCCCATTCGCGTTTAGACATCTCAGCGGGCTCTGGAAACGACAGGGGTTTATTACGATTTCCGAGAACGTGGCTCGTGAATCTAAAACACTTGTTTAAACAACTATTCGCCGAAACTCAAAAGATGGCGCCCGAAAAGGATCTGGAACCAGAGCCGCAACAAAAACGTCGACAGGGCGGGGGAAATAATTGCGACGGAACTGGAATCACAGATTCAGCATTGCGCCGGGAAAAGATTGCCCTCCCAGGCCCACGAAGGGAGACATGGCTCACCTTCCACCTCCATTCTCCAGTCGAGGCCGCTACACCAGGCCTGGGGTCAAGTCCTTAAGAAGGTCAGGCGCCGACCCGATCGTGCTGCCTGACTCCAGTGCACGGGATCCATGCGCAGTCTCGCGGCCCCATGGGGGGAGAGGAGGAGGAGGATGAGGAGGAGGAGGAGGAGGAGGAGGAGGAGGAGGAGGATCGATGAAGAGGTGGAGGAGGAGGAGAGGAGGAGGAGGAGGAGGAGGAAGAGGAGGAGGAGGAGGAGGAGGGAGAGGGGATCCTGAGAGAGAGAGAGAGAGAGAGAGAGAGACGGGTGTTGGAGTTTGTTCGCCGTGTTTTCGGGGCGCCGGGGCCCTCTCCCTGGGCCCTGGGGCAGCCGAAGAGGGCGACTCGGGGCGAGGAGCGGGTCCCGGGGCAGGGCCCTGGGGCCTGCTCCCTCCATGCCAGAGGGTCGTCTTCCTCCTCGGCCGCGGCCGCTGGAACCACAGAAACCCACCCAGGAGCGCGGGCACGTAGAACTGCGTGGCCGCTGGATCCACGCGCCGCGGCTGGATCCGCGTGCGCATCGAACGTCGAAGCGCATCCCGGGACGTGTCTTGGGGGGCCGGCTTCTGAGGAGGAGACCAACGCCCCATCGCGCCCTGCAACAAAACACACCGGACCGGTGTTGCCCAGCCGGAGTCCAAGAACAGCGAACGCATTCCCCGGGGCAAGTGCCCGGTCCACGGGTCGGGGCTCGACGTTTCCAGGGCCGGCGCCGTTAGGAGATCACGATGTTTGGTGTCTTGCCTTGGCTGCGCCATGACCAGAATTTTTATGCCGTGGCTCTCTCCTGGGCCCCCCTTTCTGGGGGCTGGCGCGGCCACGGCTAGACGCTGCTCGAGAGGCTGACCACGATTGATTGGGACGGGGGCCCAGTGGCCCATTTTGAACACATCTGGTCGGGGGCAGGGCTGGAATCGGAGGATCGAGGTTTGAGGATCGATGACCTCCCTCGCCCTAGTCCTCCTCGATCACTGTGGGTCTGGCTGCTGAGTCGCAGTTCTTGTTCGTCGCTCTTCAAAGGAGAGAACAACCTCCATCCTTCTGCCCGCCCTTCTGCCGCATGGGTCCTCCCCGTGAGGAAGAGGAAGGGAACATGCAAGGATGAAGTGGAGGAAGGATAAGCATGGACGATAAGGATCACGATTTCTATCGTCATTTCAGGGGGAGAAGAAGGAGGGAGCCAACCAGGAGGAGGCGTAGGGAGGAGGATGGGGAGGAGGATGACACATCGAGGATCGAGTTTTTGGGACGTCCTCTGAGACCTTGTTCTGAGCTTCTGGGAGCCCCCGTCGGAGACCTGCGCAAGGCCCCATCCGGGGTTGGTCCTGGCCTCCCTCCTCCGGAGGAAGGATGCGGAAGCGGGGATTTGTCATAACCACCGCGTTGGGGGATCCACCTTCGGGGATCTCAGCAGGCGGTGGATATGTTGTATAGGTTCGGGCTTCGGGGTGGGGTGCGGGGGGGGGGGGGGGGGCAGATGCATACAGATCCACCGCCTGCCGGGTCCCCGAACGTCGATGCCCGAGGCGGTGCTTATGGGTAAATCCCCGCCTCGCGATGATGGAACGGATGGAACGTTGGGGGGGAGGGACAACGGAGACGGGAGGAGAGGGAGCACGACAGGAGGAGGAGGAGGAGGAGGAGGAGCGGAGGAGGAGGAGGAACGAGGAGGAGGAGGAGGAGGAGGAGGAGGAGGATGAGGGGGGCGGGACGAGTCGATGGTGCGCGACGGGCAACGGATACGGGAGGAGAGGGAGGAGCCAAGGAAGGGCGGCGTTCGAGGGCCGTCGCGTTTTTGTCCACGCTTGTTCCCCCTACTTGGAAGGCTGCTTGAGGTTTGCGGGGAGGGGCGAGGACGAGGAGGAGGAGGAGGAGGAGGAGGAGGAGGAGGAGGAAGGTAAGGAAAATGAAGAGGACGAGGAGAAGGACGAGGACCATCAGGAGCAGGAGTAGCAGCGCTACCAGTAGATTTTGAGGGCCCAGAGGGGGAGGCGGAGGAAGAGGAGGAGGAGGAGGAGGAGGAGGAGGAGGAGGAGGAGGAGGAGGAGGAGATTGAGATGGATGCGGGGTGAGGATCTGGTTTCTGTCAGGTTTGGAAGGGTGGTAGGTTGCTATATGCCATTCTGGAGGGCTGGCGTCCTCCTCCTCCTCTCTCCAGATCGAGGTCGAGGATGGACGAGGTCTCTGGCGTCCTTCTCCCTCCTCGACCTCGATCTGGATGGAGGAGCAGGGAGCTGGTTCAGGAGCAGGTTTTCAATTGTTTCGTTGTGTGTTCGTAAGTATTCGGAGGTGTGGCTTCTGGCGGATCTCGGGTACCTTCGCAGGGCGACGGCTTCAGCGGCTTCTAAGGAGAGGAGAAGAGGATGAGCAGCAGCAGCAGCAGCAGCGGCATCAGCATCAGCAACAGCAGCAGCTACGGCAGAAGCAGCAGCAGCAGCAGCAGCAGCAGCAGTAGCAGCAGCAGTGCTGCTAGAGGACGTATGAGGGACCCGTGGGTGCTGCGGGGCTCGGCAGCCTCCTCCAGGCACGCCAGTGCTCCACCTCCGCACCCCCTCGAGGACCAGCAGGCACCACACACCCGCAAAAGCTGCCGGAGCCTCGCAACAGGCAACTGGGCCCACTCCCCGCGCCTCCCCAGCCCCTGGCGCGCGGCTGGCGGGGTCGGCGACGGAGGCGACGCTCTCGGCCCTCCTTCCCTCCCTCTTCGTCCGTCCCTCCCCTGCCTTCCTGCCTCGTCGTCCTCCCTCCCTCTCCTCGCTCAGCATCCTCCGCCCCCTTTCCGTGTCCCTCCTCCCGCCCTCCACAATTATTCAATATGAATACTACTCTCCCTCTCCCCCTGATGACGTCTTGGGAGTAGCCGCCCCCCCCCCCGCGCATTGTTTTTTACACGCAGGTTTCCCCGCGCGGAGTTGGGCTTTCGCTTGCATTTTTTCAAAAATGCTGTTCTCGCTGAGGCGCCGGCTCCATTTTCGGGCCCACTCGTTCCGAATCGTGCTCCCGCTGCAGCGCTGGCATCATTTCCGCCAGCGCCCGGGCTGCACGCCCGAGCCGGCGCCCAGGCCAGCGCTCGGGCCGGGTCCGGAGCCGGTTCCGGCCGCCGCCAGAAAATCGAGTTCCGCGGCGGCGCCGATAAAAGGCAATTCTAATACACATCTGTCTTTTGAAAATGCAGAATTTCTGCTTCCGGCGCGCGGGAGGCCCGGGCCGATTCCGACGCCCGGGCCGGCGCCCGAGCCAGCGCCTGGGCCGGACGCCCGAGCCGGCGTCCGGGCCGGCGCCCGGGCCGGGTCCGGAGCCGGTTCCGGCCGGCGCTCCGAGGCGGCGCCGAAAAAAGGCCATTCCAATACACATTTTTCTTTTGAAAATGATGAATTTCTGCTTCCAGCGCCCGGGAGGCCTCCCGGGCCGATTCCGACGCCCGGGCCGGCGCCCGAGCCGGTGCCCAGGCCGGACGCCCGCCGGGCCAGCGCCCGGGCCGGGTCCGGAGCCGGTTCTGGCCGGCGCCGGAAAATCGAGTTCCGAGGCGGCGCCGAAAAAAGGCCATTCCAATGCGCATTTTTCTTTTGAAAATGCTGAGTTCCTGCTTCTGGCGCCCCGGAAGCCTCCCGGGCCGATTCCGGCGTGCTTCCGCTCGTTCCGAATCGTGCTCCCGCTGCAGCGTTGGCCTCATTTCCGCGCTTCCGCTCGTTTCGACTCGCGTTCCCACTGCAGCGCTGGCGTCATAATCCCGCGCCATTCCACGGCATGCAATGCAATGCTATAGGTTGATACTACGCTTTGCGGTGCTCTTCTACGCCATGCCACGCCGTGCTCTACAATGCATCACGTACCCTTTTCTGGATCATTGCCCTGCTCGACATCCGACTGTGCGAGTTTTGGCTGGATCTATTGCCCTGCTCGACATGACTGTGAGTGCGGGGATCTGCGCCATAGGGATGGGACTCAGGACGCGAGCGCACCTACCCCTCCCGTCCTCCTTCTCTGCCGGCGACGTGGTCCACGACGCCTGCCCCCATGACGCGGACTGCGGCGACGAGGACGGCGATGAGACGACGACGACGACGACGACGACGACGACGACGACGACGACGACGACGACGACGACGACGACGACGACGACGACGACGACGACGACGACGACGACAGACAACACCGACGACGTCCGACGCCGAGCGACGAGCGGCAGGCAACATCGACCGACAAATTGATTGACTGCCTAACGACGGCGACTGACGACGAGAAGCGGCGGCGGCAGGGACCACCGTCCCCGCGGGCCGACATCTCGGGCAGTCGGTACCGCACGCCGTGGTCGGCGTTTTGGGGGCAGCGATGTCGGCCAGGCCTGGGCCTCGCAGGGGCCCCGGACCCTCGCGCTCCCCGCCCTCGCCGCTCCGAGCAGCGCCGACGTCGAGCAACGGTGTGCCCACGCGAGCCTCGAGGAACTCTTCTGCTCCGAGCGACCCTCGCCCGAGAACGCGCGGCGGGATCCCCGGGGAGCACGGGCACACTTTTTTGACTCGCGGGTCGAGAGCGCACCTCCTCCGGTCGAAGCTCAGCGGGCCGCGCGAAGCCTGAATTCACCGAGAGAGGGGGCAGAAGGAGAGGCCTCACGACAAGGCCAGGAAGAGGCAAAGCAGGGAGGCACGGGCACACGCCGGGGCTCCGCGGCCGCAGCCTGCAGCCGTCCTCCCTCGAAGGCGGGGCGCGCGCCGTTCCCAGGGGGAGCACACCTCGGGCACGCTCTGGGCCGGCGGCCGCGGCAGGTCGGGGTGCGCGAGGCGGGTCGGGAGCTCCTTGCCTGAAGCCTCACAGCCCCAGCCTGTGGGGCCCGAGGACACACAAATTAATACACACAAATAAAATGATTCCCTATATTTTCCCATAGTTTCTGAGTTCTTGTCCCCCCGCCCAGTTCCCATAGTTTCCCATATTTTCCTGGGAGTCGACGATTAGTTGTGTCTGTGTGTTTGTGTTTGTGTTTGTGTTTGTGTTTGTGGTTGTGGTTGTGTTTGTGTTTGTGTTTGTGTTTGTGTTTGTGTTTGTGCTTGTGTTTGTGTTTGTGTTTGTGTTTGTGCTTGTGCTTGTGATTGTGCTCGTGCTTGTGCTTGTGCTTGTGTTTGTATTTGTGTTTGTGTATGTGTTTGTGTTTGTGTTTGTGTTTGTGCTTGTGCTTGTGCTTGTGCTTGTGCTTGTGCTTGTGCTTGTGCTTGTGCTTGTGCTTGTGCTTGTGCTTGTGGTTGTGTTTGTGTGTTGTGTTTGTGCTTGTGCTTGTGCTTGTGCTTGTGTTTGTGTTTGTGTTTGTGTTTGTGTTTGTGTTTGTGTGTTGTGTGTTGTGTTTGTGTTTGTGTTTGTGTTTGTGTTTGTGTTTGTGTTTGTGTTAGTGTTTGTGTTTCTGTTTCTGTTTCTGTTTCTGTTTGTGGTTGTGGTTGTGGTTGTGGTTGTGGTTGTGGTTGTGGTTGTGGTTGTGGTTGTGGTTGTGTTTTTGTTTCTGTTTCTGTTTCTGTTTCTGTTTCTGTTTCTGTTTCTGTTTCTGTTTCTGTTTCTGTTTCTGTTTCTGTTTCTGTTTCTGTTTCTGTTTCTGTTTCTGTTTCTGTTTCTGCTTCTGTTTCTGTTTATGTTTCTGTTTATGTTTCTGTTTATGTTTCTGTTTCTGTTTCTGTTTCTGTTTCTGTTTCTGTTTGTGCCTGTGCCTGTGCCTGTGCCTGTGCCTGTGTTTGTGCTTGTGCTTGTGCTTGTGCTTGTGCTTGTGCTTGTGCTTGTGCTTGTGCTTGTGCTTGTGCTTGTGCTTGTGCTTGTGTTTGTGTTTGTGTTTGTGTTTGTGTTTGTGTTTGTGTTTGTGTATTGTGTGTTGTGTTTGTGCTTGTGCTTGTGTTTGTGTTTGTGTTTGTGTTTGTGTTTGTGTATTGTGTGTTGTGTTTGTGTTTGTGTGTGTGTTTTTCCCTCCTGAGAGACGCAAGCCCGTGCACGTCGATCGATCGGTCGGTCGACGCACGCGCGACGACGGCGGCGGCCAGCTGCGGCCACCAGCGATCACGGCGGCGGGCGGCCGGCAGGACCGGGACCCGCGCGTGCTGCTGCAGGCGGCCGTCCAGAACGCCAAGGAGGGTTGGTGCTCCGCCTTTTTCTCCTCCTCCTACCCTCATCCCCGCCTCCTCTTCGTCCCAGCGGTTGCAAGTGTCATTGGCGCTCCAGCAGATGAGCCCTTCAGCATCGTTACGCACGAGGTTGGGCTGTATCAGATGCTGTGGGGTGCTAGGAGTGCAGAGTCATCAGCACGGCTTTCTGATATAGTAGCATCTAGGCCAGAATCCGACGTAGGCATCTGTACACCACCACCGTGCCAGGCCAGGGCCATCCTGGGCCCTAGGATGGTGTATAGACCCAGGATGGCCCTGGCCTGGCACGGTGGTGGTGTATAGATGCTTTCTGCGTACAGAATGGAGCCAGACACGATACGCAAAGCGGCGAGGAACTACCCCGAACGTGCAGTAGCCAGCCTGGACAACTTCTACCCACGGCACGCGGCCCTAATAGACGACGTTGGGCTCAGTGCCTGGCATCGCTCGGACGTGTGTATTTTTTCCTCGGCGAGGACCCTTGAGGACCATCCTGGACCATCGAGCAAAAACACACACGCACGAAACCGAAAAATGCACGGGAAATGGACGTCCGAGCGACGGCAAGAGTGTGATATCGACGATTCGACAGTCTTAGGAAGCATTGGGATGCTTACCAGAGCAGCCTCGTTGGATTCAGATGCTACTCTTCTGCGTACCAGGTGGCAGTAACAAGTGGAACATTCTCCACGCAGGAATGTAAAGTATATCGCAGCGAGCGAGACGACCCTCAGTGCAGCATATGCAGCCAGCCCTGGAAAGACGATGCTTTGGTTCGCCTAAAGGACGATCGGTTACAGAGTGCGCATGGGTCCAATCAATACGTTCAGAGTCGGGCCACCATGCCACCATCACGGAGTGATGTGCGTTGTGGATGGGTCAATATACAGCGATACGATCACACTCGATGTGCCGCTAATCAGACGTCTTCGACTCCGTGCGCCAGTATGTTGGTTGATGCTAGTTGTCAATGTATGGTTGTGTCCACTCCTCATGCGCCTTGGCGAACATCTGTCCGACGTGTACGCCAACGTTGCAATCGAAGCAAACGCAATGGATGCGTTCGGCATCTTCGTTTCGAGTGCTCCCACGCTTAATTGCCAGAGCTGCATCAACAACACTGGCTCCCACAACTCGTTATCAGACTACGCCAGTGCGAACAGGCGCCGCAGTGGAAGGAACTAGGCACTTCTCCGAGGCAAGCAGGGCAATCAATGCGTCCATCGACTAGGATGATCTCTCCATTGCCGCAGCGTCGGCTGGACTCGCGATCGACAGTTGCCATCAGTTGGAACTCAACCGCAGTGTCGTCAAAGTCAAGGTCTCGGATTCTGGTGTGGACGAGGCTGCTGGCGCCACCCGGAGGCATCCCAAAGCCAGGGTCAAGCAGCAGTCCAGATGCGCGACCATGAGGAAAAAGGATTCGCACAGTGAAAGCCATGAGAAATTGTCCCAAGGGTCCGAAAGAAACTATGCTTCGACCGGTTTTTCGCCTAGGGGTGGTGGTTCCTGCAAGTTCTTTTCGGTAGTTCCGATATGGCCATCTCACCAGCGTCTACGTCCAGTGCAGCCTCACCTTCGCACGGTGGGGTGTCTCTCTCAGCCAAGCTTGTCTTGAACGGAGACAGCAACACGAGGTTAGGAATGGCACCAGCCGTCCACTTGTACGGGATAGCCTGGATTGCCGCCGCCCGCCCAGAGAACGCCCCCTATCCAGGCGGGGGAGTTGGTGCATATTTGGCAACTCTCCAAGCCTGAGAAGTGCAAACCGCGGCACGAGACCAGGGGCCCAATTCCCCACGCTGTTTTCTGCTGGGCCCGCGCGGGCTCGGGCTGCGACGGGGTCTTCAAACGGGTTGCCAACAACGGTTCCGAAGTCGATTTAACGCAGACCCCGCCGTCGCTACTGCCAGACCAGCTGGAGCTAGAAGTCCAGCGCCACCGCGAGTTTACATTGGCCCGGATACTAGGGCACGCCCCAATCTCCAGGACCTCTCTTGATCCTAGTAGGAAGACGGTCTCCCCGAAAGGCAAGAGGTTGAATCGTTTCCAGAAGTTCTTTATGAAGAGTTGCGGTTGCGTTGGATTGCGGAACCAAGATCGAACCGAGAGGGCGGGGCCCTCGCGCGACGGGGCGCGCAAGCGTGGTGGACGGGGCGCGGTGCATCGCAGGCTATTAGCTCTCGCAAGTACTATCAGTCAGGACTGCCGCCGACGCCTCCTCTGGCATTTCGCAGACCGCGCAGGGCGAGCGTGAGAACATCGTTTTCACCATTTGAGTTGTCGTTTGTCCAGGCTCTGGTTTGTCCGGGCCATCGACCTCTTCCGAGGTTGACGCGCTTGGCAAGGGCGGGCGCCCGATCGATCTAGGCCCTGAGAAGATTTTCATGTGACTGCCGGCTGCCCTCTCAGGCTGGGGCGGAACGGGTCAGGCAGCGCGCCTCTTCTCTTGCCCCTCGAGGGGGCGGCCTGGTCCACGGGCGTGCGTCCAGACGAAGGCGACGACCCGAGGGAATTATCCCAGGCGCCCAGCCCCAGACCACTGCCATGGCCGATCACATGGGGATCGAAGTCCGTGGCCCGGTCGCGCCCAAGCGGGCCCATCTAGCTTCGGGTAGCAAGGCCGCCATCAGAGTTGCCCAGCATGACATTGTTCGGAAGTTTGCCGTTTTGAGCACATTCGCCAGCATCAGACAGCGCGTCGCGCGAGAGCTCACCAATCGGAGGAATAGATCGGGCGGCTCCAAGCCACCGAACGCTTGTTTGCCATGGCCAATGCTGCCGTCGATCGGCAGGCAGACGCTGCCTCGGTTAAGCGCCCAGCCGCGAACCGAGATTCGCTGCAATCTCGCCGCCACCAGAGCGCAGTGCCTCGCGACATTGCTGCGCATGGACTGCCACTGTTCCACTGCGAAGCAAGATCGAAGAGGCCCATTCGTTTCCGAGCTGGCCGCTCAAGGCGGCCTCGCAGCTTCCAGTTCCTCGGGTCGGCTGCCCTCGATCGATTCCTCTCGGTCGCCCCCTCGTCGCCGTGGCCGGTCTGGCTCGAGAGATTGGCGGCGGTTCTTCGCTGCGCATCGTTCGAAAGCAGACGCTGCAAATTTCGAGGAACCCCGGGGCTCGGCTCGAAAACGGCTGCCCCTGCGAGCCCCCCTTTCCCCGCCCTTAAAAGCAAAGAAATATGCGGCGTGGCGCGTCAGGGAATGCGCCTTGCTCGGCGCGCGCAGGCCCTCTTGAATATGGCTGTTCCTTTTCTGTTGTTCGGCTGCGCCGCGGCCTGCCCGGGCCCCCGGGGGCCTCGGCCCCCGCGGTCGCGAGGGCGAGTTCTACGGCTTCAGGGGCGCCCCCCTCGCATCAACAGCGAGCGAATGCGTTGCTAGGGCAATTTTGAGTGGAGGCGAGCATTCGAGATGCTCGACCCAAGAGGTAGTTTCGCGGGTGCCGCGGGGGCCTTCTCTGGTTCGCCGCCCAACCTCTCATGCGCATTTCAGCATGTGCGGAGATTAGTTGGCGCCGCGCGCCCCCCCGCATGGGCATCCTATTCCGTTCCATAATTTATCCCCCGCCCCCCGCCCCACCCCCCCTCCGCGGCCGCTCGGCTCGAGCCGACGGGGGGGCGCAGTGGCCCGCGAAGGACAGGCCTCAACTCTCTCACCGTGAGCCAACTTCGCACATCAGGCCCCCCGCTCCCCGCGGCGCCGCCACGCCCGCGAGGGGGGCCGCGGGCGTGGACGACGACGGCCCCTTTCAGATGAACATCGCGCTCGGGCGCGCGGCCGAGCCGATGGAGAATCACGCGGGACTCAACCGCAAGTTTGAGCTGAAGATGGTCGAGATGGCCGACAGCCGCCAGATCGCGACTGCCGAGATCATGAAGATTGGTTCGCTGGAGGCCAGTCGCTACCATCGAGGACCAGCTTGCCAGGCTCCACGAGGTGCCAGCCGATCGGGCGCGGCACTCCACTTGAGTTCAACGCGTTGAACGGGGCGGTCAAGTGCGGCGTGACTTCGATGAGGGCGGAGGTTAATGCGGCGACCTCGGCCGCGACCCTGGCGGGCACAAATGGCAGCGGCCCATGGCCGGCCAAGCATTCACGGGCTTCGAGTCCTGCGCCGACAAGGCGAGTTACAGCAGGCGACGATCATGATGATTGTCGGAGGTGGATTTCACGAGACGCTGGCTCGCGCCGGCGAGGGGGGGGTTCTGCGCGCTGCGCAGGGAGCGCGCGAGCCCGCGCGCGACGAGCAACGCGTCCGCCAAGTTCGCGAGGACCTTTCAAAGTTACAGCGCCCACGTCGAGACTGCCGCTCAGGCTCGCGAGTTCCACGACAATGCGACCGCAAGCCCGATGCAATGGCGAGATGGGCGGGATCAGCGCCAACATGACATTCGCGTTCGAGCCGAGTCGCCAGCGCCAGCAAGGACGAGCGTGGATGCCGATGAAGGAGCTGCCGGCGAAAAAAGGCGCCTGGCGTCAGTCTGCAAAGATTGGCGCTCAAGGCTTCGGCAACGAATTTGACTTCATAAAGGGCGATGACATTTGAATTCCCGCCCATGGCTACGCCCACCCGCTCCAGGAGATGGCGAGCGCGGCCGCCGACGACCATCGCAAGTTCAACGCCGATAAGGCCGACGTCGATGCGATGCTGGACATGCTCGATGCCTTGGATGTTGCGCAAGCAGGTTTTGCTCCGGACTCAGATGACGCAAGTAGATGTGCTTCTACCGAGCTGATTGGCGACGAGTCTCGCAGGTCTCCCGGTTTTTCATCTTTTCTGGCGCGTCATGGTCTTCGGGCCCCGCCTCGTCTTCCGAGGGCGAATGGTTGTCCGAGGATGGTAACTGATTGGGGCGGCGCAGACTTTGGCGAAGCTGCCTGGTTCCCCTTCATTCCCAAAGAGGCGTTTCAGAATCACCACCTGGAGCGCGCGCGCCCTGTTCGGCCCAGCGTGCGCGGGCGCGAACATTCGGGCGGATTCCCGCG